AATGCATTTAAGTATTTATTAGGCACAACTCATCATTGCATAGGGTATACATAAGAAAACATCAGCAAAGTTAACAGACTGAAATGTAAATATGGCAAGTGGTTCATATGCTGAATTGGGGAGTTGAGCGGTCAATTCAACTTTAAATCTTCAATAAAATATGCTTTGATGATCTATTTATACATTAATTCTACATAAATGTAGAGTTCCTCTGCATGCCTTCTATTCAAAAAGTAAAGCTCTCTTATTAGATATCATTGCCAGACGAACTTCAAATCCGTGGAATAAAACTGGGGGTAAGACCCAGTCAACAAGGTCCTAAGAAGCCATCCAGGTAATGTTGAAGCCTACTCAAGAGTGAGCACCCTTCCTCTCGTCCAGTTCTTTGGGACGAGTATACTTAACTGGTTCCACACAGAAATGCTTTTGGTGAATGTTTTGTGTTTATGCCCAGTCTTACAGAAGCGTTCACAAATGCAAACAAGACGTAGTGCGCATCTGCGCCTCAATTGAGCATAAAACCAAGCCCAACCTCACTCATCGAGACCCTAAGAGACAAGGTAAAAGTGCTCCTGTCAGTTTAAACCCTGCCTCCCTCTCGCGAGCGGCTGGAGGTTTTGAACTGCTGAGCTTGCAGTTAGCAGCCCAGTGCACAGCAACTAAGCCACCCAGAGCTCCTTCCTGTCCAACAACATAAATGCAAGAATCTTTCGGGTTGTTCGATAGGATCCCACAGTTGAATCCCCACGTGCTGAACAAACAAAATGGGAGGAAGCGGGAGAGAAAGCATTACATTGTTTTCTGTTGTTTTGCTTATTCGTTTTTTAGGGGGGGAGAGGGCTGGTGGAGGTGAGTGGATAACTAGATAGAGGGAGACACAGCGATGGAGACAGAGGAGATATGATGTTCGGGCAAACCCATCCCATCATTTGAAGGAGCATAAGGGTTGTTTTCGCCTTGCAATTCCAGGATGCCCCGGGCCGCAGCGAGAGGGTGGCGCTGCGGTTAAAACGGGGCTCCGGGAGGCGGCGCCCCACGGGGCCTCACCTGAAGAGGGCGCCAGCACGAGGAGGGCGGAGAGAAAGAGGCCTGCGGGACAGGACAGCCAGGAGCTCCCCTCCCGGGCCTTCTTCCTGGCCCGCCTCGCCCGGCGCAGGGCCGAGGCCTCCATCCGCACGCCGCCGCCCGCCGACCGTCCACGCAAACGATCGTTACGCTGCGCGCCTCCACCCGCCCTGGGCGGCACGCGCCGGCGGGAGTTAGCGGGCCAGGGCGGCCGGAAGCACGGCCCGCCACTTCCGGTGCTGCGAACCAGATGGGGATCTTCGGCCCCCTAGTGGGCGCGTCTGGACAAGGAAGGTCTCTGTCGTCGTTGTCGTCGTCGTCGGGGGTTCCTGAGGGAAATTCTGGAAGAGCTAGCTGCCCCCTGGGCCCGGCATTCTCGAGGCCTTTACCGCCAGCCAGGGGGGTCTTGGGAAGGATTCTCTTCTTCTTGAAGATTCGGAAACTGGGAGAAGAATCTTAGGGTTCAGAGCCTGCGTGCAGACCATTCTGAGCGTGTTCCGGGGATGAGCGAAGGCCGGGAGGAGACCAGTGTCTGGAACAGGACATCACGTCCGTTGGTAGAGGGACAGCGCAAAGAAGGCCCTGGGCCAGACGGGTTAGCACAGCGGCTGCAAGGATGGGCTCGCCCACAGCAACGTTGTGCACAGTGCCTGGTCCTGTGGTACTAGGGGCGCCACAGCCGAGCCGACTCCCAACACGATGGTAGACCTGGAATCGCAGGATTCACGAGCCACCACGAACCACAGGTAGCCTCTCCACGAGAATTGAGTATCCAGGTGCAGCCCTCAAAGGATCGCCTGGAACTAGTGATTTCAGCGATTACTATTTAATCCATCTGTAGAACTTAGTTGGGAGCTGAATGGAACCCACACATAGTGGGAATGACATGGGAGGCTTTGGCCCGCCGTGGGCGTGGGGGTGGGGAGCTAGTGGGAAAACCCCAGATGAAATTGGCTTGGCAGTGTTCAGCCTAGAGGAGCCTGTTTGCTTGTGTAATCACCCTCAGCTCAGACAAAAGGTGAAAAAGCACAAAGCTAGGCCGGGTTTCAGAGTTTGAAAGATTCTACTATATTCAGCAATTAAAATGATTTACTGGGGATCAACCAAGCTACGAATAAATTGTATACAGTTGATCTAAGTACATAGAAAAATGAAATGTGAGCGGCTGAACGGTACCTAAAAACAATGTTTATTATCACCCTTATTGAGAAGTGAATGATCCTCGATCTATAGTATAATATTCTTGATCAGTTGACCTCCCTCTTGACCCACCCTGAATATTTTTCTAGGCTTAAATATTTCTCACTTGTTCTATGACAGAAATTTCTTCTTTGGCTTTTTAATACTGATGGTGGTCTTTTCTTTCTTACTCTATTTTTGTATTATCATTTTCATTCTGTTTTGTTGTGCTTTTGCTTTTTATTGTTTCTCTTATGTTTCCCAGTTTAGGAAGATAGGAGGAGTGGATGTATAGAGACTATAATTGATGCACTCGTTTATTGGGGACAATGGTGGGTGTGGAGGGAATGAGGAAAACTGGAGAGCAAATCATGAATGCAGGAGGGGGAAGGGAGCATTAGAACTGATTGTGATGACGTGTATATAACTCTTTAAAAGGCGAATGAACAATGGAAGCGTGTCACATGTGACATCAATAAAACTTTTCTAAAAAAGGAAGTGAATGATCATGGGTAAGCTGGTTATAAGAGACTCTAGATGAAGGACTTAAAAATGGACTATGATCCCCTAATTCAACCTATCATAAGCCTATAATGCCTTTTTATGGAATATAATTATTCTAATTCTGTCAAAGATATCACCAACCCCTTGTTCCCGTAGAGTTGGTGTGATTTATACATTATGCAACTGCTTCTTGAAAGATAGAATCTTGTCTATTGTGTAATCTTAGCCTCAAGTCCTAGGTTTTTTTGGCACATAGTAGGCATTCCAAGAGCAGAAAAGTCTGAAAGACCATCCTGTGGAAAGGAAAGTCTTTTAATGGAACAGGACCAGAACATGCTACTTCATAGAGTCCCTAAACACCAAATAAAGTGAAAAGATTTCCCAATATTGCCTGACTTTGCTTGCATGTATCCATGCATGTGTTGTTTGGTAACTGTATTGAGTACCGTTTATTCCACAGAGGACGCATCTCTCAAAAAACGCTTCCTCGTTTATAGAAGGTCCGGGGTTAAATTTAGACTGTCCAGATGTCCAGACATGTTTTCCTAAAGAAAGACTTGACCAATTTATATCCCACCAACATTTAGGTCAAGATCTTGCAAGTCTTTTGGTAAATCAAATGAACATTCAATTTGTTAAATTAAAATAAGTCACTCTTTTGTCTACGCATGTTTTCTAACATATATTTAAAAAGCTATGTTCTCACCAGGCACATCTCAGTAGAGCTCAGGGAATTATGAATAACTTAGACCATGTAAAAGATGCACATTGACTATATTAATTGTTTTCCATAAAAATGAGATATAAGTTGTAACCATTTAGCTGCCTTTGAGCTGATTCCAACTCGTGGACTTCCAAAATGCTCCTTGGTCTGGTTTTCCAAGGTGTTTCTGTGTGGTTTCCCGCAACCACCTATTAGCACAGTACTTGGTACTTAATAATTTGTGCCACCCATAGACACAGTATGATACGTATTCACCAAAGAAACATGAGGCTTTCTATACCTCTAAAGTTACAGTCTCAGAAACCCAAAGAGGCAGTTCAAACAGTGGTTTTCAATCTTCCTAATGCTGTGACCCTTCATCTTGTGGTGACCCTCCAACCATAAAATTATTTCGTTGCTGCTTCATAACTGTAATTTTGCTACTGTTATGAATCAGGTGACCCCTGTAAAAGGGTTGTTTGACTCCCAAAGGGGTCGAGACACACAGGTTGAGAACTGCTTCAGGATCACAATGTGTTGTAATCAACTCAATGGCAGTGAATGAGAGGCCCCAAATTAAGAATAGGTATTCATTTTTGCAGCAAATTTAAACTTTCATCGATATAAGTGGCAAGTGTTATAATTTATAGTTTTTAAATTCTTATTTGTATTATATGTACTTACAAAAATACACTATGACTGAACTGCTTTATCTAAATTTCTTATGGAATATCATCTTGCTCTTAATTAAAGCCAAAAGCCAAACTCATTGGTATACAGTGAATTCCAACTCAAGGCAATAATGTGCTTCAGAGTACAACTGTTCTAAACAGGGCTTTCAATGACTCTGATCTTTTAGAAATAGATTACCAGTTCTTCTGAGGCTGATTCAAACTGCTAGCCTAGTAGATCCCAAAGCCAAACGCACTACCATCAAGTCAATTTTGACTAAAGAAACTCTAGATGATAGAGTAGAACTGCCTCTGTAAGTTTTCAGAGCTGTAAATTTTTCCTGGAACAGAAAGGCTCATCTTTCTTGGAGTGAATGGTGGCTTTAAACTGCTGGCATTGCTATTAACAGTCCAACTTATTATTCACTATGCCACCTGGGCTCCCTTATGTCACTCTAGTGCTTCCTTAAATGATTAACTTATGGTCAAAATTAAAAATAATAATTGGACATGGCTTTCCTGCACTCTGGGGCGGAAGGTATCATGAACTTCTCACTACAAATAATCATATTATGACATATATGAGTTCAATGACTTACAGTTCTAGTTGTTGCCAAGCAACAAAGACTCTTAATTTTTTAAAGTCTTATTTCTTTAGTGTTCTATTTCTTTTATGAAGAAAAAAGTATTTCTCTGAAAGAAAAGAACAACCTACTCCACAGAAATTTAGAAGCTTAAAATCAATCACTTATGCTCAATTGACTCTAATCTTAGAAATTATTGGAAATAGAAGATTTGGTCGATTTAAAGGAAGAAGAATCATCAGAAGCACTAAATTTATAACCATCAAGAGCTTATAAAGATAAAACACCACAGATATGAATTCACATTGTGCACCTGGACAGATAAGTATCCCTAAACAATTCATCTCTTCAGCACCAAAAGGGGTTGATAAAATGGATTATCCACACTACTGTTATCTCTTAAGAAAAATGAACATGCCTTTTGTGGCAGGAATTGAGGATAGACATGACTATGGCAGATTCGAAAAGAAATCTAATCCTGCTTTTCTTAAATTTCACCCTTATCCTCCTTCGGTCCTGCCAGACTGCCATCTACACTACCCTTATCCCCCACCATACGGACCAGATTATCCATTATTTCCACTTAGAGATGATATACCTTTAAGGGATCCCTGTTCACAGTTTTTGAGTCCTGGTGCTGATGCTGACTTAAAGCCTGGCATTGGCAGAACCATACCAAACTTGGTGGATTTTAGTGATGTGAAACCACAACAACGAGTTCCTAGACCAGACACGGGATTTAATACAACAATAAACAGACAAAAAATTCTTCTAGAAGAATTACAACAGGACAAGAGGTGGAATTCCAGGACAGTACCAGACATTTCTATCAGGGCAAGACTTGGAGGTAAATAAATGTCATGGACTTTATTTTGTTCAAACACTCAAATGAAAGGGAAAAAGTTTACATACAAGACTTGTTGCCTTAGCAGCTAATATTAACATTAATTTGCTAGGAGCCAAATAAGGAATTAGTATTTTAAATTACAGTTGGCAAGGTAACATTGTAAGAGTAATTATTTTACATAAAACACTGTGGATGCAGTATATATTTTTTGAATAAGTGACCAACATAAGGTATATATCAGATCATGTATTTTAGACATAAAAGGAACATAATTTTACCACAAAATTAATGAACCCAATTTCTAATTCTGTATTTCTCTTAAAAAAATCTGCTAATAGTTATAAAAGAAGTAGGTTTCAGGAGCTGAATGAGAAAGCATATTAAAATATATCTGATTCTGGAGTCCATGCTTAGCACACATGATTTGAGTTGTGCTACTAATCCATAGGTTGAGATCGTACGCAACACATGGCACTGGAAGTCTGAGACTTCACCTACCCAATGGCTGGAAAAAGGAAGACTGGAAATGTAGATTCAGATCAGCTCTGTCTAAATTAATTATTCATGCCATGGCCCCAATTTGGTGGGGCTTCTATCAAACTTTATGTGGCAAAAAGTTTCAGATTTTAAAAATGCCAGTTTTCTGACATGCATCTATCAAGTTGCAGCATAATAGTGCCAGGATTGAAAGACCAGTTACCCAAACAGTTCTAATCTAAGGTAAAAATATTTTTGATAATCAGATCATGTCCTTTATTGACTAATAAAAGGACATAACGTATGGAATTGGGAAAAGGCCTAAGAGTAGGCCATGGAGAAAATTACATGTGTCATCAATGCTGCAAAACAACTTACTAGATTTGGTGACTAAAATTATGATAACAATAAATTAAAAATGGAAATATTTTAAAATATCCATTTCTCTTGTGATTCATCTAGTTTGGCATTGCACTATCAGAACCCTCAGATCAGAGAATCACTTGTCTTTAATATCATTTTCATGAGGTCTTTTAAACCAGGAATTGTTCAATTAAGTCAAAGCTTGTGATGCTACCTATTCCTTTAGTCAATGAGCTGAAATAAAAGATCTTAGACTAACGGATCTTTTTAACCAGCTAGTTAAATGATATTGGAAAAGTTATTTAACACATTTGGACATGAGTTTCTTAGTCTGTAAAAAAGTGATGAATTAGATCATATACTAATGTTCTTTCCTATTCTAAACTTCTATGATTCTGTGACCAGAAAGGCTGCAATCATTGAAAAAGATTTACATACTGCAACATGTGCTGCATTTTACATCAAGACTGTAAGATATATTTTGAGATAGTTTCCATAATTTATTCCTGAACTATATTCCGTAAAGACAGAATGATCGTTTACCCACATTGGCATGAATATAGCTGAGTCCTGAGCACGGGAGCTAGTGAGAGTTCTATCTAATGCTATTTTAACCAAAACGTATTCTGGAAATAATGCCTTCGTATCCCAGTCTACAGATATCTAAGAGATTCTTAAGTCAGTCATGAAATAAAGTTATAATGTAATTTTAAGTTGGGGCAATATGGTAGATTAAGCAGCTACAGTAGAGTAAACTCCATCCCAATTACAAATATATATATTTGGATTTAATATATAATATAATATATAATTTATATAAATATATATAAAATATATATATTTGGATTTAATATAATATAATATATAATTTAAATCCAATATATGTATTGGATTTAACTCTCACTAGTTCCCATGCATAGGAGTCAGCAATATTCATGCCAATGTGGGTAAAACAGAATTATCTTTCATAAGAAGTATGGTTGAAGACAGACAAGGTAGTGTGTGTGTGTGTGTGTGTGTGTGTGTGTGTGTGCGTGTGTGTGCATGTAAGTGTAACTGGGGCCTGGTAAAGGAGTAGTTATTTGCTGGGCTGCTAATTGCAAGGTCACCAGTTTGAACCACCAGCTGTTTCAGGAGAGAAAAATGAGACTTTCTACTCACACAACGCGGTATAGTCTCAGAACCCCACAAGGGAAGTGGTGTTTGCTAATGGCTCTCAAAGAATGGCTCACACAGTTGTACATACTGGCAAATTGTAAGTTTGAGTTGCACGTGTCAGTCTTCTGACTCATACAGCAGTAGAAACCAAAGAACACAAGGTCAGCTTGTCAGAAGACAAACTGCTTTTGTGGAGGTAAATGTGTCCAAGGTCAGCAGTTCAGATAGCAGGAAAGGATGCTGACAACTCCTGGGATTGTAAGGCAATATGGCAATCCAAAGAACAAAGCTCAAGCAAGTGTTTTCAGAGCATCCACATAGATTGGAAACAGGACAGGCACCTGACATAGCTCCTTTTAATAGATTGGCTGTTCATAGCAGATCTCATCATGAAAATGATCACATAATTATCAGATCTGATCATAGGTGAGTGATGATACAATAACTGCCAAACGACAGAATTCTAACTCACCCAAATTGACATACAACCTTAAGCATCACACCTAGTATTTCACTAGATTAGTAAATAAATCTATAGAGGTGGCATGAAACTGAAATATCAAGAACTTTGAATCTGAACATAATGTTTAGAATGTCAAAGTGAAGATCCAGAATAAGGGTGAAGTTTTTAAATTAAAGGTTTCTGTGGGGTGGGGGGAGACAATTCCATGGAATGGAGCAGTGCCATGGATTGCAGTTTTTTGTTTTATGTGACATGTTTGTTTTACTGCTAGGAATGAAAATCAAAGGATTTACTAAATCTAAAAGAAACGTGTAATAGATAAAAATATAAACAAAATATGTGAATGTAACACAGTTTAAAGTAAATATAAAAATCACTAGCCTTCCCTATAAAAACAAAGATGTTCTCAGATTAGGTAAAAGTAAAAAAAATAGCAATGATAATTCCCTCAAAAGATTTATAATAAATCAGAAATCTGTACCGAAAAAAATTCCAAAGATGAAGTTTGAAGAAAGAGTGAGACCTTTGCTTCCTAGTGGAATGAAATAGGTTTTACCTTGCCAAAATTTATGCTTATAAAAAACTAGATAATTTTTTTGAATCATTATTTAATTGCCTACTTTTGAAAAGCATACAGAAAATAAAATTCTTCAGAAAGGAGAACATTTTAGGAGTAAACTGAGACTTCATAGATATCTCTGAGAGTATTTGCTCATCAAAAGGAGCAGGCTAGAAATTAAGATAAGCATTAACTTATGCATGCGTTAACTTATACATGCGTTAACTTATACAAGGAGTGGACCAGGGAGAGACTTTTGGCCATCCATTAGGGGTAGAGTTACAAAAATATTCTTGCTGTGAGGTGCTGTCTGGTGGTTCCAAATTATAGCAACCTTGTGTATAACAGAATGAAGCACTATCAAATCCTGCACCATCTTCCCAATTGTAGTTATATTTGAGCGCATCATTCCAGCCTGAGAGTCCATCCTAGCACGGATCTTCCTCTTTTTCCTGCCCAACTTCAGAACTTGCAGCCCACTCGCTGCTCTATGAGATAGAGATGGGGCCTGCTACTCCCACAAAGAGTTAAAATTTCAGAAACATACAGAGCCAGTTCTAAACTGTCCTATGGGGTCATTATGAATCAACTTAATGCCATGAGTGAGAATAACAATTTACTAGAAGAGGCAGAAATATAAGAATATGAAAAGAGAAAAATATAATAAAAGTAAATGTATGGGTGATCCAACCGTTAGAATACAGTAATGAAAGTAACTATGAGTGTTGTAGGCATATGGTTATCGAAAGATCCATGTGGAAGGAAACCCCTGGAACATATCAGTTTGTTATCTCTAGGAAATCAGCACCTGACTTGAAGCTGACTAACAGAAACCATAGAAATTAGAGACAATGAAATAAAATATTTTAAAACTCTGAGAAGATAACAGTCAGCCTAGAATTCCATGTCTCTGTGGAATATCTGATGAATGACCTTCAAGAACTTCCTCCTTTGACAAAAATCAAAAGAACTAGTACTCAGCTATCATTTTGGTCAAAGATTCCATGAAATAATCTTGATCTAAAGATGCAAAATGCAGAACAGAATTTCAAATATTCATCGACACTAGACCACAAGTTCCACACTTGGTGGACCTACGTTTCCTTTTGAGAAAAACATAAGAATAACTCAGAACTATGTTGAGGTTAGTTAATCTGACTCTTCTAGCCATAATTCCTTACATGATATAATCATGACCTCTCTATGCCTATGGCTGTAATCTCATTTTGGAAGGCATCCTCTACTATACTAATGCACAGGATTCGAGTAGGATTAAGACCTGACTTTAGTAGGGAGTGTAAATCAAGTCCAGCCCTTTCCTAGAGGACATTTGTAGATTCTACATTTGTGTCCAAAGCCAAACCCTTTGTTTCTTCGGTGGCCTCTTTAAAACTCTAGTACAGGATATGACTTAAACATCATTCTTTGTTTTCCTTGGATGGAATATATGTACTGGTACTCCTGTACACTTTTATCACATCATCTGGAGAGCCATACCTCAGTTTCTTGACTGAGTTTTGCTAGAAGCAAGAAGACCTGCTGTGACTCTTGGACATTTTTAGCTTCTAGCTGTAGACCCTGAATTTGGCTCGCCTCTGCCTGCCTTTCAGCCTTAGGATTCACAACAGCTCTGAGTTTGCTGGTTTCTGTTGGATGTTGCAGTGAATTGCAGAGCCCAGAAGCATGAGGAAATATACTCAAGAGAGGAGTTGGGAGAAAATGGAGCAGTGCATTTGGGATATAACATCTTTAATCACCAATTCATTGAGATTAGTCTGATAATGCTTCTAAAATTAATTATTGCCAAGAATGTCTTTCTGCCAATTAAAACCTTTTGTACTATAGCCCATAATTTAGGATAAAATGTAGGTATATGTTTTTGCAGTCTCCAGGGATCATTCCAGGGCGCTCCAACAGGTGGTCTTACCCACTGTGGGAAACACTGCTCTAGAGCTTTCTGTTGCTATCAAGGTTTGAGGA